GTCTCTGAGGCCAGGAATTCTTCAGTGGTCTCCAGAAGGGATCCATAGTAGCCCAGGCCACCCCAGGACAGACCTCTATGACAAGACAGTGGCCTTGGCCATCCTGGAAGGTTGCTTTACATGGACCTGCAAAGGCCCCAGGGTTAGGACATGCAGTGGTAGATGTTCTCTACACATCACGATCCAGCAAAACACCTAGAACCAAGGGGACCCAGTGCTGTTCCCTGCCCCACTGCCAACCACAGCCCTGCTGAAGAGGAGACAGGTGAGAAACAGAAGATCCAAAAGTGGCCTGCCTAGTTTCCTCTGGTTATAGAGGCAAGACAGACAGAGGTTAATATGAGATGAGGCCCCATACACAGCCCAGTTTTGGGGTGGGACAGCACCCCAGACAGGGCCCGCTCTTCATCAACTGCAGTTCTGAGAGCAGAAGGGAGGCCTGGAGACTCAGCAAACCCAGAGCGTGCTCAGCAAGGTCACTCAGGAGGCTGTGTTCTGGCAGAAACTTGGGAGAAAATGTTGGAGAAAGTATTCCATAGCACTGTCTCAGGGAAAGTAGTAGGTAGATCTTGTCAGTGGTGGAAAGCACCCTCAAGAGCGTTGCCACACCTCTCTAAAAGTCTCCACCCATTCAGGTTCCCAGCAACCCAGAATGCTGGGAAACTGGTTGTGTGAACCCTGATGATGGGCAGGGGTGGGAGCACTAAAGTGCACAGGCTGCATTTGGAGGGTGCAAGATAGGTTCTGGCAAACTCCTGGTTCTAAGGAAACAAGGTGCAGAGTTAAGTCACCATTCTGCCTAGGAAACAGATCTAGAGAAAGATAAAAATCAAGGAAGGGAGATTGTTTAGCCAGGTGTTAAGTCAGGTGTCAAAGCTGCTTGCCGAAACCTGCAAAGTAAAGGAAGGTGCCCAATTTAGGGCCACAAGTACTTAACATCAGGGCTCTTGGTGCAGTGGACAGCCAGTCCTGCTTAGTCAGTGTCTCATGGCATGCTGCCTATAATGGACTCTCATAGTCACAGTTTTCAATATGGCTTCCAGGAAGATTTGAGAACTTGGCAAACGTGTGTGTGTGTGTGTGTGTGTGTGTGTGTGTGTGTGTGTGTGTGTGTTTGCACATGTGTGGGTGGGTGCATTTGTACACACTTGTGGGTGGGTGCATTTGTACACACTTGTGGGAGGTGTTACTCCTCCAGCACTGTCCACTTTGCTTTTTTGAGATACGGTCTTTCGTTGGCATGGAGCTTACCAAGTAGGCTAGGTTGGCTGCCCAGCGAGCCCCAAAGATCTTCCTATTTCCACTTCCCCAGTGGCAAGGTGTATGCCACCATGTCTGACTTTTTCTTTTGTTAATTAAAAGATTTTAATATTGTGTGCATGGGTGTGTTGCCTGCATTTACGTCTAGAGATATAATCTTGAGGGCCTTGTGCCCTTGGAGGCCAGAATAGGCCATCAGATCTCCTGAGACTAGAGTTACAGAGCATTGTAGGTCAGCATGTGGATGCTGAGAATCAAATCATGGTCCTCGGGAAGAGTAACTTGTGTTCTTACCTGCTGAGCCATCAGTCTAGCCCTCATACTGACTTTTGTTGTTGTTGTTGTTGTTGTTTTGGTTTGGGTTGGTTTTCGAGACAGGATTTCTCTGTCCTGGAACTGGCTTTGTAGACCAGGTTGGCCTCAAACTCACAGAGATCTGTCTGTCTCTACCTACTGAGTGTTAGAATTAAAGATGTGTGCCACCACTCCTGCCTCAGTACCTGACTTTTTAATGTATGTTCTAAGAGTCAAACCCAGGTCCTCTTGCTTAGCACTTTACCAGCTGAGTTATCTCTTCAGCCTCCGGTAAACAATTTTTTTTTGTTTGTTTGTTTCTCGAGGCAGGGTTTCTCTGTGTAGCTTTGGAGCCTATCCTGGCGCTCGCTCGGGAGCCGAGGCTAGCCTCGAACTCACAGAGATCCACCTGCCTCTGCTTCCTGAGTTCTGGGATTAAAGGTGTGCACCACCAATGCCAGCTTGCCTCCGGTAAACATTTTAAAGAGTTGAGAGAGAGGGGAATGAACAAGAAAGGAATTAGCCTGTGTAAGGCAGACAACGTGTTCCTCTAAACACAAGTGTCTCATAAGGGCTGGAGAGATGGCTCAGAGGTTGAGCACTGGCTGCTCATCCAGAGGTCCTGAGTTCAATTCCCAGCAACCACATGGTGGCTCACAACCATCTATAATGAGATCTGGTGCCCTCTTTCGGCCTGCAGGCAGACATGCAGGCAGAATGTTGTTTACATAAAAGTCTTTAAAAAAACAAAACAAGTGTCTCATAAACTAATGAGAAGTCAGACGACTACAAGCGAAACTAACTTAGCAAGGTCAGTGTGCAAAACAGAAACCCTCCAGGGGCAAGAAGAGGCCATGGGAGATGAGCACTGGCTCCCAGTGCTGTGGATCCACAGATGATCTGTGAGTGACAGGGTTCAGTGGTCAGTAGAATGGACAGATTCCAGTAAGGAGGGCATCTGGAGCAGGAGATTCTAAAACCCTCCTCATGTGTCTGGGATTTGTGTGTGATGACACCAGTTGGGTAAAGCCTGGATTCTTTATCACTAGAGGGAGGGTGCAGGCATTGAGGAGAGGCCTTACACCTGCTAGACAAGTACTCTACCACTAAGTTTAATCCCCGACCCCATTGCAAGGTCCTGGTCTTCAGGTGACCACAAATAGCACAGTTCACAACTGCAGGAATTTATTTTCTCCCAGTCCTGGGTGCCATGACTACAACAAACAGGCTCGGGGAGGGTCTATTTTTGTCCTGAGGCTCCAGGACACTAGGTATTGTGGCTGAGGGCTGTGGCTGCACCAGTCTCATCTCTGCCTCAGTGTCAGATGGCCGTCACCTCTGTGCCTATGTGCCAAATTCCTTCTTCTCAGATACCAACCCTACTGGACACAGCTTGTCGGATCCAGTATAGCCTCATGCTAAGTGTCTACACTGTAGTGGCTTAATTCCAAATAAGGTCAGTCACAGTCATTCAGTGGATAAGTGTTTTGAGGGACAGGTGGTATGACAGGGAGAGGCAGAGTTTGAGAGGGAGGTGTCCTAACTATGCTTCACATGAAAACGATCTCATTTGTGTGTGTGTGTGTGCATATAGATAGGATGGTTTTACAGGCTTCTGGCTGCTCTCTCGGCTTGTGTCTGTCTGGAAGTCTCTATCATATAGTTTTCCTTATTTCTTTCTTTGGGGAGGGCAGGAGAGAAGTGTGGTAGGCTAAGGCAGAGTCTCAAGCTCCATCTGGCCTCAAACACGGAAGTCTTCCTGCCTGCCCCTCCCAGTGTGGGAAGAACAGGCGTGAGCCACTGTGACCAGCTAACCTCATACTTCTCTGTGCCCAGTTGTTTTTAAAGGAATGTGGGAGAAATGTAGTGATTTAAGCAAACTACCCTTCTAGCAACAATAAATTAGGAATAGAAAAAGGCCAGGAGTGGTGGCACATTCAGGAGGCTGAGGCAGGGGATCTCAAGTTCAAGATCAGACGGGGCTCTATAGAAAGATCCTGACTCAAAAAAAGAAAGAAAGAAAGAAAGAAAGAAAGAAAGAAAGAAAGAAGGAAAAAAGAAAAGAAAAGGTTACTGTTTGTTTTGGTTTTTGAGACAAGGTTTCATGAACGCCAGGCTGGTCTTGAACTTGCTGTGCAATGGGGATTGACCTTGATCTTCAAATCTTCATTTCTCTGCCTCCCGGGGACTAAGATAACAGGCATGCAATATTATGCTTGTCCAGAAAAGCTTTTAAAAATAAGATAAAAAAAAAACCCAACACCAACTTCCATAAACTCAAAGATACTCCAGCCACAGTCCTGGAACCCCATAATACAGAACCGACTTCAAGTTGTCACCCTGGAACAGCTCGAAACATGGCTGTTGGAGGGAGAGCTCCTTTGCCTTGCCAGGAGTCTGCTCTCCTGGGGCTGGGAACAGATTGCAGGTGAGGCAGCAGCACATGAACCAAGGTGGAGGTGGGCGTTGGTGCTGAGGCAGGGTAGGGCAGGAATTTGAGAGTCTGGGGTTCCACTCACATAGCCCAAGATGGGGTGTGCTGTACCTCTGGATGGTTTGCTTAAACTAAGAAGGAACCCTGTGTGGAAGGAGAACACCAGGCACTGAGGGTATGTCCTGTAAGTCTGTTACTGTGACGGACACCGCTGATGCAAGGTATTAGCAGCAAAGGAGACGGGTATGGTGGCACACACCTTTTATCCCAGCACTCCGGAAGCAGAGGCAGGGGGCCCTCTGTGATTTGAGGCCAGACTAGGCTACAAAGCAAGTGCCAGGCCAGCCTGAGCTTCACAGTAACACCCTATCTCAAGAAAAAAGAAAGGAAGGAAGGAAGGAAAGAAAGAAGTCAGCAACAAGAAAAATTCTGAGCTGAGTCAAACAGAGATATATGGAAATCCTTCATGCTTTCTGATCATATTTCTATCTGTAATCACTCATGTGTGGTGGTATCTGCCCATAATTCCAGCATTTTTTTAGGCTGAGGCTAGGAGATACAAATTTAAGGTCACCCAGAGCTACTTAGCAAGATACTATCTAAATAAACAAACAATACAAGTGACTTAAAATGTTTCTCTGCTGTGACTCCATTCCCATAAATAGTGACATCCAGGCAGGTGCTAGCTCAGTGGAAAGCTATACAGAGGAAGTGCCCGACATTCAGCCTGGTGCTGCTTGCTCCTAGCTTCATGTGTTTACCACAGCCTGTGACACCTCACCAGATACCCGTGGCTCAGAATCCTGCAGAAGCTCAGGTAGTCAGGCAGAGCTGGTCAACAGCTCAGGGACCCTGAGCTGTGCACCCCTGGCCCAGCTAGGACTGCTCCCACCAGGCTCTGCGTGAGTCTCAGTGGGCCTCTGACCTCTGTGCTTTCCTTCTTCTAGGTAGTGTACTCAGACAGCTGGAAATGACAAGGGTCTCCTAAGGCCTCTCATTCTACCACCTGGCCATGAAGAGGTGCCCCTTGGTGTCCACTGCCCACATTGCCAGGGTGGTCTGCATCCTGCTCCTGGCTGCTTCGGTGAATGCACAGAATGAAAGTAGGTCTGAGTCTTGTGCTAGAGGGAGAGGTACAGGGTGCAGACAGGATGGGAAGGATGGACCAAAGTTAGATCCAGGTGATATCTGCCACCCAGCCGACTCAGCACCACAGACTGGCAGGAGCGCTGTGCCCCTGGGCTACAGAAGTGTGAACCATGTACATCTAAGGATGGCTAACAACAGAGGACCAGTGACACTTGGAGGTGATGGCAGAACACTGGTGGGACTGCCCAAAACTACACCCAGGCTGCAAGGGAAAGAGGGTGCCCTGGCCAGGCAATGGGGGCACCACATAGCTGAGGACCTGCTTAATCCTCTGGATACGTCCAGCCTTGTCCAGAAGCCTAGGCATCATCTGGACAGCAGTCACTCAGGTCAACAGACACTAAGGACAATCAGAGTGGGTGTAGAAAATGGGTCCCAGGGAGTCCCCCAACAGCACTCTCCAGATCCAGCATCCCCAGATAGATAGTGAAATCCCTGCCATTCCACTCCTTCCACACGGTGTGTACTTATGTAATCAGTGAAAATAACTCATTCTGTTTCCTGGAGGCCTTGACATCTCTGCCCATGGCCTACAAGAGAGGCCAGAAACTGCCCTGCAACTCTGCCTTGCCCATATGTGATCATCCTCTCCACACAGGCTGGGACAGTCCCCTGTGCACCGAGAGTGCATTGTCTGTGCCTAGAGGCAGTCGTGCTGTGATGACCTGTAACATCTCTAACACCTTCGCTGATGTCTCCATCTGGCTGGAGGGCCAGATCATCTTCAATGAGGCACCCCAAGGAAACTCCCGCTTGGATGACTGGGAGCTGCAGGTTCAAGGGGGCCAGGCACGGCTCATGATCAATGACACCCAGGATGTCCACACAGGGCTGTACTTGTGGCAGCTGCATGGACACCAGCGAGATTACAAAAACTTCACCCTGACTGTTTCAGGTGAGGAGGGGGCTGTGGAGTGAGGAGGAAAGAGGGTGGGGCCAGTATGTGGAGTGTGGGGGAGTGACTTGGGAGACAGGAAGGAGGGCAGAGGGGAAAGCAAAGATTTTGGTCTTTTAGAGGAAGTTAATCTGTCTGAGATGCAGACAGGGACTCCGCGGTTCAGGGCAGAAGCCCATCTGAGCTGTGCTGGAAGCAGTTGGTGCCAGTCCATACTCCTGTTTCCCCACCACTCACAAACCTCTCACACATCAGCTGTGGGGGAAATTGTACCCCAATTCTCTGCGTTCTGGAAGCTTCCAGAAGAACCCAGCCACCGTCTGGTGTAGGACATTCATGCCATACCTACTATTGAGAGGTCCATAGCCATTGTCACCTTAACTGAGGGTGCGCTCAGCTTGGTGACCACAGAGTGAGGCCCCAGTTCCAGCAGCGTCCACACAGCCATGTCCCTGTTTCCGTCCCCACACCTCCCACCATGGAGGCCCCAGACGTTGTGCACCTTAAGGAGAGCAAATTCAGCCGGGTGTGATATGATTCCAGCACTTGGGAGGCTGTGAGGCCGGAGGATATGAGTTCAGGGTTAGACCTTGTCTCAAGACGAGAACTGAAGAGCAAGACCCCCCCCACACACACACACACATATACACACACACACACACACACACCACACACACACACCACACACACCACACACCCACACACATCACACACACACACCACACACACCACACACCCACACACATCACACACACACACCACACACACCACACACCCACACACATCACACACACACACCACACACACCACACACCCACACACATCACACACACACACCACACACACCACACACCCACACACATCACACACACACACCACACACACCACACACCCACACACATCACACACACACACCACACACACCACACACCCACACACATCACACACACACACCACACACACCACACACCCACACACATCACACACACACACCACACACACCACACACCCACACACATCACACACACACACCACACACACCACACACCCACACACATCACACACACACACCACACACACCACACACCCACACACATCACACACACACACCACACACACCACACACCCACACACATCACACACACACACCACACACACCACACACCCACACACATCACACACACACACCACACACACCACACACCCACACACATCACACACACACACCACACACACCACACACCCACACACATCACACACACACACCACACACACCACACACCCACACACATCACACACACACACCACACACACCACACACCCACACACATCACACACACACACCACACACACCACACACCCACACACATCACACACACACACCACACACACCACACACCCACACACATCACACACACACACCACACACACCACACACCCACACACATCACACACACACACACATACATACACACACACATACACACCACACACGCACACACACACACACGCACGCGCACGCGCACACACGCTCTGATAACCCTCCTCTCTGCACCTGGACCCTCTCCCCAGAACCCTCCTCACCTTTCTGGCCTCACTTCCTACTTGTTCTAGTTTAATTCTGTTGCTCTGACAAACCCCAGACTAAAAGCATGGGAGAGGAAAGGGCTAATTTCAGCTTATGAGCAATGTTCCTCACTGAGGGAAGTCAGGGTAGAAACTCAAGCAAGAGCTTGAGGCAGAGACCGTGGAGGATGCTGCTCACTGGCTTCCTGTCTAACCCATGTCTTCCCACCTTCCTTCCTCTTCCTTCCTTTCTTCCCTCCACTCTGTCTCTGTCTTTCTCTCTTTCTTGCACTCTCTCTCTTTCTAAACAGGGTCTCAATGTGTAGCCCCGGCTGGTCTGGAACTCACAGGAATCTGCCTGCCTCTGACCCCTTTGTGCTTGAATTAAAGGTGTGTGCCACCATAGCTAGGTTTCTTATTATAGTTCAGGGACACGGGCCCAGGGAATGGTGCCACCCACAGTGGGCTGGACCCTGCTACATAAGTAAACAATCAAGGTGATCCCCCACAGACGTGCCCACAGGTCAATCTGCTCCAGGAAATCCCTCAACTGAGGCTCCTTCTCAGGTGGCTCTAGGCTGTGTCAAGTTGACAGTTAAGGCTAGCTAGAGCACTACCCTACCTGCTTTCATGGTTCAGTCACAAAGCAGAAGTAACATCAGAAGACTCGGATCCAACCCACATCCCTCTGTGTCACCCCCATATCTCGCTAGAGACTGGCATACCCCCAATGCCCATCCTCACTGCACCTAGAAATTAATTCCTCCCAGTCTGAAACCACTGCCCGCTCCATCCTTTCTGTATCTGTAAAGGCCCTAGTCTCCGTGTCTCTCTCACCCTCCCCACACCAGTTCAATCTGCCATAATCACTGAGCCCCTGCAGGTGAGCCTGATGTTGGTTCCTCCTGGGACCAGCCAGGCCTACTGGACTACTGCAGCTGGAATTGGGGTGCAGTCATGTAACACTCAACCTGATGGTATGTCTCCAACAGAGCCTTCAAACAAGGAGACCACAGACACACCCTCCTCAGGTAGGAGTCATAACCTGTCCCCAGGCTTCTTAGCACTCTAGTTGCTCCTGATGCTGTGAAGCCAAGTGCTGACCACCTGGGACTGTTCACCCTTAGCCCTTCCTGTACATGCCCACTGGGTGTCACTGCCCAGGAGGCTGTGGGGTCAGCAGGTGGCAAACAATGGGAAGAATAGGACTGTGAACCAGGGAGGGATGAGGTAGTAAAGAACCAGTGTGGTAAGCGTCATCCCTGTCTCCTCCTGACCCACTTCAGATCCAGTCAAGCACTTTCAGCAGAGAGCCAGGCCTGATACCCTTGTGGGAGTCGTGGTCGCTGTCATCTTGATCTTGGGACTCACAGGAATCGGCGCCCTAATCTGCCACAGGCACCACCGTTCTTTGAAGTCCCAGTGGATTCATGCCGTGGTACCTGACTTGAGGCACAGGTGGGGTCTTCCTGAGATTCTTGCTCCATACCTCCTTGGGGTGTGCCCTGAGTTTTGCCACAACGGGGGCTCAGGGGGACTATGGAGGCCACACAGGACCAAGACAGCAGGCCCCACTGCAAAAATGCTTTAAGTCTTCCATAGCTAAGAATATAGGCCCTGAATTGGGTCTGCGAGGATCACCTGTCCTCAAGGCTTTATTCTGACACTTGGACACCTTGGAGAGCAGCATGGAGTCTATAGTCTTCAGGATTCTCTCGGGACTCTTGGGAACTTGTGTTTAGGAGGGAGCCTGTGGTTTCTGATCAGGGTGTTTCAGACCTATGATGCCCCGGAAATAAGCCCACCATGGGCTTAGACCCAGGTTCCACTGGGATAAAGAGTGTAAGACTGAGGTGGGTGTTCTCAGCATAGCTGGCTGGCCATTCATGTATGCAGTATATAAGATGATGGGTGGTCTGTGCCTATCTGAACACAGGTCTGAGTGCAGGCATTCACCCTCCCCCCTCTCCTTTCATCTCTCCCTGTCTAATTAAGGAGGCTCTAAGTCTGTGGGCCAGTGGAAGCTGGAGTAGCTGCCTGGAGAGCTGATAACAGAGAAAGGCCACCAGCATGGGCTTGTCATGTTCTTAGCCCTTGGCGGCCACTATGACCGTCTGGAAACCCAACACCATGGAGCCATTATCCCATGTTTGGCAGAGTAGAAGACTGTTCATGTTTGATGGGCACAGAAGACTTTTCCCCAGGGGTGATGTAACCCTTGGTTCTATGCAGAGGAGGGGACAGTGACTCACTGAAGAAGGACATTGGACTCTGGAAAACAGTTTGGGCATAGTCACATCAACAGGAGGACAGCCTCCAGACTATGGTCTTCAGTCATCTGATCTGCCCCTCAACTCTTACCAAAATTGGGGAATTTCCCATCTGCACAGTCCTTGCCCTCAGCATCTCCACCCTCTGCCTCCTTCAGTGGCCTGGGCTCCTTTGCTTCTGCTGAGCCCCTGAGGTCAGCATCTCTCTGCTACCCACAGATCTCCAGAGCAAGCCTAGGACTGCACCAAGATCTTCATCAAGTAGAACTTGGGCACACATCTGCTTTCTTTTGGGGGGGGGATCGAGGCAGGGTTTCTCTGTGGCTTTGGAGGTTGTCCTGGAACTCACTCTTGTAGACCAGGCTGGTCTCGATCTCACAGACATTCGCCTGCCTCGGCCTCCCAAGTGCTGGGATTAAAGGTGTGTGCCACCAAGGCCCGGCCCTACACACTTGCTTTCTGACAATAGTAACAAGTTTGAGAAACCCAGATGTCAAGTTCCAGGGGCCAAATAGGAAGATAAGAAGTGTGAGATGAACCATTGCCCCACTCCTGCACTGGAAAGCCGAGTGCCCTCAGGACAGGGGTCTATGGAAGGCGTAGGTGCTTGCTGACAGGCAGTGCTCTCCTGGGGAAGACAGTCAGCCCTGGGACTCCCGTGGGCCTCTCTTCAGCAGACCCCCAGCCCCAACTCTCTGATTCGTATCCATAACCGACTGTTCTTTTCTGACCTTTTGTCTTGGTTACAATGCTGTTTTTCCTTACATATAGATTAAAAAAGGAGTTTTTCATAGAAATTCCATACTTTATTATTATTATTAATTATTTTATTACCATTGTTGTTGTGTGAGTGTGGGTATGGACATGCCGGGATGCATATATAGAGGGCAGAGGATAACTTTTGGGAGTCAGCTCTTGTCTTTACCATGTTTTGAGGCTGATCTCTCTTGATTCTGCTGCTGTGCTGTATATTCCAGCCTCGACAGCCCGTGAGCAAACACACAATTCTCCAGTCTCTACTTCCTACCTCTTCCTAAGAGACTGGGATTACAGAGACATGCCTCCACATCTGGTTTTTACATAGGTTTTAGGGATCGACCTCAGGTCATCAGGCAAATGCTCTTACTTTCTGAGCCATTTCATCGACCACTAAGTAGGCCACACTCTAGAAAATCCTCCTGGATGCTAATCTTTAAATAAATAAATAATTCAACGAAGAGATCATCAGGTCGGCAGGGAAATACAACCGTTAGTCAAAAACATGAAAATCTACAGGAAACCTCACACGCCGGTGCCTGAAGGAAACCGGAGGCCAGGAATGCTCTTGGTGCCTGTGGCCTCCAGAGCCAGCCCGCCCCACAGTGTCTCTGAGGCTGCAGCCTGTGCCCAGACGCCGAAGGACCTGTGCTTCTCAGAGAAAAGTGAGGTGACCCATAGCACTTCAATGCGGTCTTGGTTTGGAGCCACGTGTTAGTTACTTTTCTTGTTGTTGGAACAAAATTCCTGATACAAGCAGCTTAGGGAAGGAAGACTGATTTTGGTTAAGTTTGAGCATATAGTCTATTGTAGTGGGGAGGAAGACATGTGGCAGACATGTGAATGACGCAGCTGGAAGCACTGTGTTCACAGACAGGAAGCAGAAAACCGAACACTGGTGCTCAGCCTGCTGTCTCTTTTCTGTGCAACATCAACGCCAACCCCAGCCCACGGGATGGTGCTGCCCACATCCTCCTCCGTTAAACTTTTCTGGAAACAGTCAAACACATCTGGAGAGGTGTGATTCCACAGTGATTCTAAATGCATTCACGTTGACAGAGAAGAGTCAGGATCACAGGTCTTGTCCATCGGCTCCCCGGCCCCTCTTACACTGGGCAAGCTTACAGCTCAGGCCCTGAGTGTCTTAGCCTCTGAAGCACGTCATGCTTTTCCTATACAGCAAACTGTGCTGATGCAGGAAGTTCCATCAAAAGTTCTGAACCTCTGCTGAGAAGGGGAAACTTCAAAGTCCATGAGGTCCCTGCAGCTGCAGGAAGCCTAGAAGAAAACTGAGTCGGGGCTTCAATTGGGCTCCCTTCTCTGTGGCTTCTATCTTTTCAGATTTTATCTTCTGGGGATTGCGTGAGTGCCACTCAAAAAGTGCTCCCCTGCCCTGGTTTTCTCAGTCATCAAAGCCAAAGAGAAAAGTCCTTTGGGGCATAGAATTCTTATAGGGACCTTCAAAGGCCACCCGGCCAGATGCTGCCTGCAAACAGATTTGTCCTCACAAAGTGGGAAGCCAGTCCCAAGAAACTCATCTGCACGTACACTGTACTGCTGTCCATGTCATAGGACCTCAAACTCACCACCAGCACAGGGAGTAACTCTGTCACGCAGGCAGGAGTGTGCTCTGGGACGTGCGTTCCTGTATGATGTGAACATGCATTGTCTCTGCAGGCGCCATGAGATCACCCTGCACAGTGACACACACCGACGCTGTCATTAGCGTGAAAGCTTACAGGAGACTCCTGGGAAGTCTTCCTTGTCCTGCTGTCCTGGGAGATCACGGCCATCAGGGTCTTTGACCTTGGGTCTGGACATAAGCCTGTCACTCTCTTCCTAGGAGAAAGGCCACTCTTATGGTGTCTCCTGGCTACCTATTGGTCCCAACGAACTGCTTCTGCTGTGCTCCTGCAGCAGTCACAGCCTGGGGTCTCTTCTTCAGGGCCAGGGCCAGGTCTTCCTTCAGTCAGACCAGTCTTTTAATTCAGTTGATGGTGCAGATGTAGGCACATAAGTCAGACCCCAGAGGCAAATGTCCCTGAAGACCAAGCTCCTGACAGCAGGGACCTCAGCTGCAATCCGAGCCTTCCCTCCACCCTGGGTCCTCATCTTTCCTCCTGCTCCATTCCCAAGGCTTCGCCACACCCTTTACCCCATCGATCATGGCTCAAGTCAGTCCAAATAGCATAGTGAGTAACCCATGCCATCGGCCACCCGGATACGGAGACACCTATAGAACTCGATGTCCCAAGAAGAGAACACACAAAGATATGAGCCCTATCTACAGATGACCCTGTATGAGACCATGGAACCATGCATGCAGCCCCAATAAACATGAAAGACAAAGGGACAGATTGGAGAGATGTCTCAGTTGGTAAAGTGATTGCTTTACAAACATAAGGACCCAAGTTTGATCCCCAGAACCCATTTAAAAAATAAAATAAAAAGCTGAGTGTGGGGCTGGAGAGATGGCTCAGAGGTTAGGAGCACTGACTGCTCTTCCAGAGGTCCTGAGTTCAATTCCCAGCAACCACATGGTGGCTCACAACCATCTGTTATGAGACCTGATGCCCTCTTCTGGTGTGCAGATATACATGGAAGCAGAATGTTGTATACATAATAAATAAATAAATTCTTAAAAAAAAAAAAAAGCTGAGTTCTTAAAAAAAAAAAGAGAGAGAGAGAGAGAGAGAGAGAGCCGGGTGGTGGTAGCACACACCTTTAATCCCAGCACTCGGGAGGCAGAGACAGGTGGCTCTCTGTGAGTTCAAGACCAACCTGGTCTACAAGAGCTAGTTCCAGGACAGCCTCCAAAGCCACAGAGAAACCCTGTTTCAAAAAATAAATAAATAAATAAATAAATAAATATGCTAGCTGAGTATAGTGTGCACAGTTGTAATCCCAGCACTGAGAAGGTAGAGACAGGAGGATCCCTGGGGCTTACTGGCCAGCCAATCTAACATACTTGGTGAAATCCAGGCCAATGAGAGACCCTGTTTCAGAAATGTGGACAGTGCCTAAGATAGGACACTTGAAGTTGTCCTCTCTCTCTCTCTCTCTCTCTCTCTCTCTCTCTCTCTCTCTCTCTCACACACACACACACACACACACACACACACTTAATTAAAAATAGGATTAAGGCTCAGGGGACAACAGGAGATAAACACCTAGCATTCCTGAACTCTTTGCAAATCCTACTGAAGAAACCGAGAATGACCTTGGAACATGAGCCTCTGAAAACCCCATGGATAAGAGACGGGAACAGGCAGAGGGTTACTCCTAGTGGAGCCAGGTGGGACACAGCAGCTGTGTCATCTGTGAGACACAGGAGAACTTCATACACACTGGAGGAGACATGCCTGATCAAAGTGTATTTGTGCACACAGAAACTCCAGAAGGCTGAGCACACATCACCTGTGGACATTGACACTGAGTTCTGACTGTTACTGGACATGGTGACTTGGAATGTTCTTACCCTGGTCTTGCAGTTTCAAAACAAACAAACTAGTTTCACTTTTGCATGAAAGGTGTTAATGAGACACAGGAAATCTTCATCTGCCCTCCAAGACTTCTTGCCCCACCATACCAAGGACCCCTACCTCTGCTCTGTCAGCCAAGGCCCTGCCAGGAGGGATCAAGAGATCATGGTTATTTGACCCTCTCTGCAACATGGGTAGGCACTAGAGGTATCTGGATACCCCGTGAGTATGGAATCCACGGACTGTGTCCAGTGTGGATCACTAGGCTCCTGCCTTCCTTACCTCAATCCTAAAGTTCCTGCCTTTCCCTATGTGCTTGCCCAGAGTGGTCACGCCTGTGCTGTCCCATGCAGGGAAACAAATGCACCCAGTTTTCCTAAAGGAGCAGCCCCTGAGCCCTGAATCAAATATTGGCCCCAGCCAGGACTCTTCTAGAAAAAGCCTGGACCCTCCTCCTCCTGTGATGCTAAGATGAGTAGCTAATGCAGGACTTCTGATTAAAATGTATTAATGAGGGAGTCGTTAAGAAACTTCTGGCACTGTTATGTGTACTCAGGGTACTTCCTGAAAGTCACATGCTTTCCAGAGTTTTTTTTCTTCTCAGGTGAGGCCAGACCAAGTATACAAGTGGGCGGTACTTGGAACGCCTTCTCTCAGACTTCTGGGCTGGATGAAATCAAGAGTCCAACCAGAGAAGCAGGCTGAGCATGTACACAGGTGAGGACTGGAGGGAACGGTGGTGCCCAGAGGGTTTGGGGCTCTAAGGAGTATATGAGGATGAAACCCACAGACAGGGTGTCCCTGGCCGCAGCCTCCCTGGGACCCTCACTTCACTGGCTGCCTCTTGCTTCAAGGATTTGCCAGAGTAAAGGTGAGACTGAGGTACTTGCTCAGGTGCCTTGGACCCCGGGAACAGAGGAGATCCGTCTCTCCAGGTGCCTCACACTGAGCTCCAGGAGGGGCAGAGGCAGCAGCTGGATTCTTCGGTGTGTACTGAATGGGAAGAGGAGAATGGCGCCCTGACTGTGAAATCAGGAAGCCGGGGCAGGCAAATGCCCAGGTCTACAGAAGAGGGACCTGGTGCATATGGGGCAGGGTGGCTGTATAGTGAACTTCTGCCGCTGGCCACTCAGAATCGGGATCTCTGTCATGTTTGTCAGGGACACTGCGTATGCTGTTGTTTTGTTCTTATCTTAATCTAAGTAGAAGCCAACTTCTGGTTGTGGGGCTGGAGGCTCCTCTTGTGACTTTCTTGCTACTCCAAAATTCTTGAGGCTCCATGCATATAACTTCCAGCCCAACCCTGAGCTGAAGGCCACGCTACAAAGGGGGTCGAATCTGCTCCTGACCCCTTTCTGGCTCAGTGCTCACATCCGCTAGAAACGGGTCAGGACGACAGACCCGTCAGGGGATTCAGTGAGGTATTAATTGCAAAGGCATTGGGAAGAGGGTGTCAGAAAGGTGACACTCCATGCCGCCTGTGTAACCTGAGTCCTGAAACAGATTCCAGCTAGGGATTCCAACATGTGGGTTCTGCTGCTCACCCCCTAAGAAAACAAACAAAAGTACAGGAAGGGAACTTAACCAACACGGTCCTTAGGCAAGGATAGCACCGAAGTCTGTCAACCCATCTTTCAGGTGGTAACTGAGCTTTGGGCTTAAATAGAGGAAGAGGAAGGGTCTACATAAGTAAGAAGTCCTGGTCACGGTGTGGTCTGGTTGGTCGCTGTCTCAGTTCTGATTGAGTACTGTGTTGCCAAGAAGTCCTTGTTGCTTGAGGGATAATGAGGCTCCCAAGAAGTGAATGCTGTCCTGGAACCCTGGGCCACTGCACTTTGAGAACAATGGCTGGAGACTTTTCGTGCACCTTGGTGGGCAGGAGCAGGCAGATGCCTCAGTGACTCTATCTTTGTTTCCCCAGCTGCAATGGGTTTAGAGTTAGGGATGCTCCGAGAGTAACTGCCATGCCTACGTGCAAAGTTGAATAGGAAACTGGAGAGTAAAGGAGACGGCTGCCGGGCTCACCCTGCTTCTGCTTATTTTGTTGTCCTAGGTAAAGAGGTCCTGTTATAGTTGGAAGAACTCTAGAGGTTCCCAGGGTCTAAGGTGGCTGGAATCTGAGACTACAGACAAAGCAGAGGCCAGAGAGGGGGACAGTGCCAGCTTCTCCCTCACTGGCCTCACCCTCTCTAAGGTAGCCCACCACCTGCCCCACTCCACTGCAAGGAGGCTAATGCCTGTGCTGGCTGAGCAGATGGCCCTTTCTTTTTTTTCCCATTTTTCTGGCTCCTCTCCTTCCAGAGATCTGAGATTAAAGGCAGATACAACCACACCCGGAAAAGACACTAAAAATTGGTGTGTGGGCGTGTGGGTGTGTGTATGGGTGCGGGTATGTTTGTGTGCACAGATGCAGGGGTCAGAGGGCAACTTTGTTGAGTCTGGTTTTTCCTTATGTCTTTACAAGGTTTCTGGGGATAGATCCCCAGTGGTCACAGTTTTGGGGCAACTGTCTTTACCTGCTGAACCACTTCACCAGCCCTAAAAGCACATTATTAGCATAGATTGATTTGGGGTTAACAGGGAGAAAGGAACTCAGGGAGAGTGAGACACACCCAGGAGTGTGGGTGTGAGTCTCTCAAAGGAGAAGCACACTTCTTTGTGTTTAAAATAGTCAAGTGTAGGATTTTGATGTGTTATTGCCTTCAAAGGGTTACTAAGACATTTAAATGATGAGGCTGGAGCAAGAGCTCAGAGGTTAAGAGAATTTACTGCTTTTGCAGAGGATCCAGCTTCAATTCCTGGTACCCATATGGCTGCTCACCACTGTCCATAACTCCAGTTCCAAGGGACAGATGCCCTTCTCTGACCTCTGAGGGCACCAGGCATGCGTGTGGTTCACATACATGTAGGCAAAAATACTTACATACCAAATAAATAAATAAATAAACACATCTTGTTTTTTTAAAAGATTTTATTATTTATTATGTATATAGTCTTCTGACTGCTGCAGATCTCATTTAAGGCAGTTGTGAGCTACCATGTGGTTGCTGGGAATTGAACTCAGGTCCTCTGGAAGAACAGTCAGTGCTCTTAACCTCTGAGCCATCTCTCCAGCCCAACACATCTTGTTTTTAAAAAATTAAATGACAACGCAAGGATACTTCTGAGGACACTAGACAGGATTGTAATTGATAAAGTAAATTCTGGACCACACATTCAAGAAGGTAGAGTACCGTTATTGTAAATGGAAGGTGATAGTCTTGTTTGTTTGGGTTCCAGAAAATGTCAGGGAGATGAGTAAGGGCATACTTTAGTTCATATATGCTCAGGCCTTAGGCATGGTCATTGCTATTTCAACCTTTTTTTTTTTTTTTTTTTTTTTTTTTTTACCTTTTTTTTTTTTTTTTTTTTTTTTTTTTTTTTGAGGCAGAGTCTCCCTGTGTAGCCCTAGCTGGCCTAGACCTTGTTTTGGAATCCAAACTGGCTCTGAACTCACAGAATTTGCCTGCTTTTGCCTGCCTCCGTGTCACAGTTATTGGAATTAAAAGTGTGTATCATCACAGCCAATTAATTTATTTTATTTGAAAGTATCTTATATAAAGGAATGTTGTCTCTATATAAGTAATCTCTCAAGAAAGAAATACTAACCATGCTGGAATTCTTGATTCTCATCTAACAAGCGGCTTCATTCGGGCTCCTTTTCTTTCCCATGTCTCCCTTATTTCCCCATCTTTCTACTCTTTCTCAGAAAAAGAGATGCAGGGTGCCGAGGTGGCATAGTCCCAGGCCAGACAGGAGGCACGCGGCCCAGTCTGCTGTGTGTGCTGCCTCTCAGAACCCAAAAGGGCCTGATCACTGACATCTGGATTCCACTCTCTGTGCTGAGCTGAGGCTAGGATCTCAGGCAGCCAGGGCTGGTCCTGTCACTGACAAGGAACAAAGGACAGAATATGCACAATTAGAAGGTGAAAGGGCACCTAGGACTCTTAGAGCACCAAGGATTCACCTGACTTAGTGCAAAGAGAACATCCACCTGTGATTCTCAGCCTGAAGGTCCAAAGTCCACAAGAAACAAAGGCATAGAGCTTAATGTTGCTCAGTGTCCTGGGGAGGACAGAATTCCCCTGCCTCAAGGGGCCCAGGGCTCAGAGAGGGCAAGACTATTAGATTGACATGTCTCTCCTACCCCCTTTGACTTGTTCCTGAATCCATTTCTAGCTGGGTCCCTAGGAGAGGCAACGTTAGGCTCCCGAAAAGAGGGGGTGGGCTTCCAGTTCCAGGAACAATAGGACAATTCTCCTTTGGGAGCTGAGAGGTGTCCTGAGGGTTAGGGTTAGGATCTATAGTTGCCTGTTCTCTGATGGCCAACCTCAGACCACATGGCATAGTGCAAGCCAAAAACCACCTCAAGGCCAGGGTAACCTGCCCAGCTTCAGCTAGGCCAGAACAAGAAGCTGGCCCTAGGGCCTCAGTCCTTCTGGAGAGGGGTCTTGGTCTGCTGTCACTACACTGTGGTTTTCACTTAGACACCCAACTGTCTCTGGTGCCTGGCCAGCACCACAGGGACGTGACAAAAGCCACCACAGCACCACCCCAAACAAAGGTACCTCAGAGTAAAAGACAGGTGTGACCATGGACTCCCCTAGCTGGATTTCAGAACCATCTGGGGCTCCCACTGTGATGACCTCATGGTGAGCATGAAACATTACTGGATGACCAGGGTCTGAGGCTGGAGAATGGCCTTGGCTTTGAGCCATGGGAGAGAGAAGCCTGGAACCCGAGCAACACTCTTGACAAGCAAAGAGTTCCCTGTGGAGGCCATCATGAGGGTGTCAGTTCCAGCTTTTCAAGGGATTGGGGTACCCTCAGGGCCAACATGCCTTCCAATACGAATGTTTTGTGGTGTTTCATACACAGTGACATTCTGAAGGGGACTTCACAGATGTCTGATTCCTGAAGTGAGGGGGTAACAGGAAGGGAGTTTCAAACAGTGATTCAGGTGAAACACTGTGTGGAAATCAGGACTTGGGGGTGTGAGGTATGGCAGAATATCTCAGAGGCTTCCCGAGAGCAAAAGGGAGACTCTTGTAGAAAATGAAAGTCCTCAACACACGTGTGCCAGCTGAGAGCTTCCTGCCTCCCCCAGAGAGCTGAGTCTCCAGGGTTGACGGGCACAGACTCCCAGGACTGCTGGACCTAACTCCCACAGCCCAGCTTCTGTCTTTCACTTTCCATGGGTGTCCCTATCTTAAGTTCAGCTGTGAATCAGTAGACATCACGTAAACACTCTTTTGGCTGAGGCTGCTAACTTCCCATGTCACTGGGTCCAGATGAGGACTAAGATTGACCTTTGACCAGCCTAGCTCCAGCCCAGGAATAAGGACCAGGCCTCCCATGGAGCACTGATCAAATCTTCCCTAAGGGCTACTGGCTGATGTCCCAAAGAACAAATCTGTGAGCCATGTCCATGTCAAGTAAGGCTTCAGAAGAGGCTGGGTGGGGACACTTACCCTTCTTACATCTGAGTGGGTCTAGATGCACTTGTTGGAGTACCTACTGTGTGCATAGCACATACCAGGCCTGCGGGAAACACAGAGTTAGTGACATCGTCGGGGTTGTTAGAGGTTCGCCTCTGCTGTCTCATTCTCCCACAGCATAGTATTTGTGTGTATGTACATGCACGCATGTATGTGTACATATATGTGTATGCATGTGCACATGTTTATGATGCCAGGAGGAGTCAGGAGACAGTTTATAATATTCTGCAAAGGAGGCAGTAAACTATAAGTAGGAGTCAGGTCATGTTGTGTTTGGAGCTCTCTGGAAGACAAGTTCCCTAACAGGAAGTATCAATATTTTGCCAACCCTTCTCCTTTCCTTTATTGCCAGTCAACCTCCCAGGGGCCCTTTGACCCGGACCCACACATACCCCTGAGGCTGCACTGGTGGGGAGTATGTGCAGAGGGGCCTCAGTCTTGTGCTGGGACTACACGCTGAGGCTGTGAAGGATAGTGTGTGCTGCAGCCTGTGTGTCCAGGGATCAGAAGTTGCCTCCACCATAAGACAGTCAGTTAGTTGACTCTGGGGTGCGGCCTGTCATATGTTAAACAGAAGAAATGAAAAGCTTGCCTGTGCTTTAGAAGTATATAGTACAGCCAGGTGGTGTTGGTAGCAGCACACGCCTTTAATCCCAGCATGCGGGAGACAGAGGCAGGCGGATCTCTGTGAGTTTGAGAACAGCCTGGTTTACAAGAGCTAGTTCCAGGACAGCCTCCAAAGCCACAGAGAAACCCTGTCTCTAAAAC